AAAAGCTGAAAAGTTATTCTCAACCGATCGATATTATATATGATTACACATTTTACAGTAAAGTATTACTACTACTACTACTACTGTAAATCTGAACAAGAAGAAGAATAAAAATAAAGAAGCACTTTCTGATACTTGATTAGTATTATTGTATTTTCTCACTTCCGCCATATTGAACTTGTATATGAGTCAATTAATAATGAAATGATATTTTTTATCAATCATAACTGTTGGTATAGTTATACTTGATAAGATGGAGAAAATATATATATTCTAATCTCTTATTGATAAATTGAACCATGTACTAAGGATGGATTTGGTCCATGAACAAGTAAAGGATTTGGACCGTGTGGAATTACACGAGAACTGAGTAGTAGGCTAGGATTTGCACCAACAGGTTGATATCGATGCGTCTTTTCAGTTGAACAAACAAATAAATCGATGATTTTATTTGTGTTTATAGATGATACATTAATCTAAAATAAAAATTAATTAAAACAAAGAACGATAAAGGAAAATTACAAAATATATGTATTTTGTAGATTATGTAACGAACTGATCTTAGATAATTATGCAAAAAAGAAATCAGGAAATATTGAACAACTGATTTGTTTTAATATGGGACTCAGCAGTGTGTATCCGCCGATCAATCCTAAGACATTCAGGTCTTAGACCTTTGAGTCGATGATATTCAGTAGTTTACATTTACAGAGTAAAACTATTCATGGTATTGAACAGTGATCTCTCAATCTCACTCCCTCGCACCCATGTTTGAACCAAAGAAGTCACAGAAGTCAGTTGTTTGATAATCCCAACAAACTGAGTTTAGAAAAATAAATCACCGGGTCAGTTCAGTACCCGGTGATTCAGTGTTATGAGGAGTAGGTATTGACTGAGAAACTTAGCCGTGATTCTACCGACAGTAGTGGGGTCGTAGATGTGCACAACTGCCCGTTTGTCACCTAACTACATTCAGTTCATGATGTAACATGATGAGATCTAACAATCTCTACAAATCCTCTCTGCTAATAATCACACAATAAAAAAATACCTGTTAATTTTTTTAACCGCACACTTTGATTCAATCACTATGAAGAGACCTTGATAGTTATTTCAGAAAATAAAGGAAATAAAACTTTAACAGAACCTTTGTTTTCGATTTGAGGTTCAATAATAAAAGAGCTCTAAGGACGGTGCATTAATGTCTAAATACAAGACGATAGTTCAATAAGTTTAGGTACATAACGTCAACCAAAGGTCGAGTCTACTGCTCAGTAGTTCGCTCCGTTCTACAATATGACTGTAAAACATAGGCAGTCACAGTAGAAGACATTCGTAGGTTATTATTATTCAATTATAGATGTCTTCGGGGCATTGCTCGTATATCCTGGAGCAGCCTAGTAAGCAATCCAGTCGTTAGGAAACGAGTACTAGGTAGGGATGGCAGGTCAATAGATGAAGTAGTGAAACTTCATCAGTTGACGTGGTTTGGATATGCGTTACATATGCAAACCACCGACTGCCTCGACGAGTTTTATTTTGTAGTGTAGGAGTAGGCTTTAGGAAAGCTAGGTTCGGCCAATCCAAAACATACAGAAATATATAAAGTCACTGACAAGTGGACTGAGTCATGTTAGTAGATGTAGGCTACCTGGTTGGGGTCCGCGAGACGATGGTTAGAAACCTTGAACGATATGGCTCGAAATCGTATGCAATGGTGCAGGTGCATCCATTATTTTTGTTGTCTCTAATTCTAACATTCTGAATTTATCATAATCTCTATCTTTCTCCTTCTAAATTTATTTTACTGAATTATACTTCTCGAATCATTTCTTCGCTCCCTAATCTTTTTCATTACTGCTAATACCTCTGCAATCGCTATCACTACTGGATTTGAACTGAAAGTTGCGTCTCTGTGCTGATGCGGTATGGCAACTAGAACTGATGTACGTACGTACGTACGAAGTTCTACGTTGTAACCAACTGACTGACTGACTGACATAACATCAACTGATTGGAAGAAATTTACATTTATCATATCCACCTTTGTTGTTCGATGGAGGAAAAAACTGACAGATGAGGCTGAGATTATAATTTATGGACGAACTCTGACAGAGAGACCAATGTAATCTTGAGAAAACTCGCACAATTACTAGAAACAAAAGAAAACGGTTCTGCATTTGCTTGACAAATTAGAATTGAGTCATAGAATTACAAGTTAAATTGAGGAATAAGAATCAAGGTCTTTCATCACGAACTGACATTAGTTATAATGTTGAATACGGTGTTTAGTCAATTGCATAAATGGATTTCGCGCCATAATCTAAAACTCATTATCTACAATCTGATTGGTTTGTCCATAAATTGTAGCCTCGTCAGTCATTGATTGGATAAATTTTTTTTCTGATTGTAAAATAAATGAAAGATCATTTAATTTCTTACAGCTTTCACGCATATTTTGTTCTGAGAAAAATCTACTTGTGATTAAATGAACAAGCGCCAATAGACAGACAGACAGACAAATACAACGCAGAACTTCGTACATAAGTACATCAGTTCAGATTGCCATGCCCCATCAGCACAGAGACGCAACTGTCAGTTCAAATCCAAGAGTGATAGCAATAATAGAAGGATTAGCAGTAATGGAGAAGATTAGGGAGCGAAGATATGATTCGAAAAGTATAATTCAGTAAGATAAATTTAGAAGGAGAAAGGTAGAGATTATGAGGAATGCAGAAGCTTAGAATTTCATAGAAAAAGCACCAATATTATTATTATTGTTATCACAGTTTCATCATTTACCGCACACTCTCCATGCAAAAAGCTTCTTTAAAAAATTCCTATATAAAAATCTATTATACGCTTAAGAATAATAATCTGGATGGTAAACAAGTTTTTTTTTCAATCACATTGTATAGTACAATGTGAAGTCAGTTAGTTATAATCAACATAGGGTCTATGTAAGATTTAATTTGTCCTACAGATGTAATATTCTAGAACGGTAAACGCAATATTGGCGAGCACAGAGTCTATGATAAGGCTATAATCAGAACAAGATCAACTTTTTCTTTAAACTATAGCTATTTCTAAACATAAAAACAATTATTTTAATACAATTGTTAATTATCAAGGAAGACGAGCAAACATACCGACCACT